CTATAATTAATATTCTTATTAACAAATGGAGACCATTTGGATCAGAATACATATCCAAAGGCAACCAAAAGGAAGCTTTGAAACTAGAACAAAGATAAAAGAACAGAGTTAGTTAAAGCTGGTTATAGAGTCTAATTTTAGAAGATTGTAGAATTAACAGTAAAGTAGGAGTGATGAATCAAGCAACCCATGTATTCACTTTACCTATATAAAGTCTCGTTGTTCCAAAGACTCCTCGAGTTACGTCATCGCTTTGTAACTTTGTAATCAAAATCTTTCCCAAAATTTATAGTAACTTTAATTGGTTTTTCTTTGTTGGCCAAAGTTACTGTTACTATAGGTAGATCTCAATGTAATATCTTTTATGATTAAAGAATATTTGTTATTTAGGAAAAAAAGAAAAATAAAGTCTCGTTGTTTGGTTTATTTATTAACTTTAATTTTCATTCCAAAGAAAACTATTACAAACTACATATTTCCCTCGGGGTTACAACACAAGAACTCAAACCCATAATAAGGGTTTGTATCCAAAAGTAATTCCTAAAACATCATTCAAACATTTCGAACCATGTCATGAGATAAGTATTACTGTTTGGGTCGAATCTCTTTGATCGCGAGAAAGGAGAAGAGAGTGATTTGAATTTCCGAGACAAGCAGGCCTAGATTCATCATAATGGAGCCTAGCTAGAATTTCTCTCTTTCCATAACATGTAAATAGAGTGTTTGATTCTTTCATAAGTTTTCTTTTGTTTTTCACTAGACAATTCTTTTGCAATTGATTAGTGGAACAAAGATTTCATAACTCGTAATTAACAAATCAATACGTACGATATTATGTAACAAACGTTTCAAACCTTAAAAATCAGTGTTAACTTGATTGTTCCCATTTTCAAAAATTAAAATTAAATGATGATGGCACGTAACGTAGTGGCCGGAGTGTATTGTAAGCTCAAAAATTATTTTTGTCGGCAACTGATTTCATTAAAGCCCAATGGGCAAACAATACATTAAGCCCAACACTAAAGCCTATTAATCTAATTAGGTCATGATGTATAGAAGAGAAAGATCGTTTGTAAACTCAAATTAAAATCGCAAAAAAGGAAAAGTGAATTAAATTTGGGTTTGTTTTGTGAATAGGACAAATAAATGGGCGAGAAATAAAATACGAAAGCTTGGAAACCCTATTCTTCGGTCTTCTTCACTTTCTCCGGTGCGGACACAGTACAGTATTCCTCTCATCTTCTTATTCGTATTCACCAAAACTCTTCCTGCAAATTTCGACTCTTCCTCCCAAATCCCGATTGATAGATTGCTGTCTTCATCACATCCGCCATGGAGATAGCCTCAAACGAATCGCTCTGTCCGATCTCGACGCTAATAGAGACAGGCTCTGTCTCTCTCGGGATTCCTCTGTCCGCACATCAATTCCTCTGGGACGCGATCTCATTTGTCCCATCAACATCGGATTCAGAAGTTCTTAATCAGGTATGGAGTTGGATCTTCTTCATCAAACCATCTATCCTCCACTTGATGATATTGTATTCAATAAGTGGTCAGGTACACGAGAGGTTTTGAGTATAAAGGAACTTGATGAGCAGATTGATTGATAGCTCCACTTACAGTAAGTGTTGAATCAATTGAGTAATTGCACAAGCTTGGTTTTGTAAACGACACTTATATTATTGACTCCTTTTTATGACGTCGACCTCTGAGGTTTGAGTAAGTGTTGGATCTTTGTATCAGTCCACTTGATACTGTATTCAATAGTAATTTGCTAAGTTCAATTTGTGGACAGGTACAAGAGAGGAAGGAACTTGATGAGCCAGATTGATTGATACACCCACTTCCAGTAAGTGTTTGATCTTTGTTTTGTTTTCAATATTGTTAATATGTATATATTTTTTTTAAATTTCTGGTTGTATATCATTTATAGGGAAGATATTGTTAATATATTATCCTAAATAAATCAAAATTGTAAAATTTGTTTTGAAAAATAAACAATTGTTCGCTCTTATACCGCTCTCTTTATTTCCGTTAGGCCCCACCCCACCTATATAAACCAAACTCTGTTCCTCTCTCACTTCCTCTCTCTCGTCGCATCAGTTCTCTTTCTTCCTGCGCACGCACGTAACAACATTTTCTTCTGCCGATTTGATTTTCTTGTTCGGTAAGTCGCGCAAGCACCTTCTTCTTGCTTTCTCTCTCTCTCTCTTGGTTCGAGGAATCTAGGGTCAAATCATGGTGCTTTAGACTAATTTTTAGGGTTATTTGATTTGTTAGAAGGTAGGGTAG